TCCCTCTGTCTCGGTCATAAGGCGAATGCTGGGATGGTTCAAAAAGTCCACGTTCACCTTTCACCAATCTACCACCACCACCACTACTAATCTAAATTACTCAGTTTCTTTTTTACAGGTATTTCTTTTCATTCCCACATCTTATGAAAAGAAGATCATGTATTCGTTTTCACATTTAACTCAACGGACGCAATTTAAAACAGGTTTTAAATAATTTCTAGAAGATAAATTGTAACGTAAGCTCGAAACGAACAATATACAAATTTTAACATCCGTAACAACCAACTGCTTGGAATCACATTACGTTCGCGAAGCGCAGTAAATTCGGAGTGGGCGCCCGTTTGTCGCTAATCACACGCACGCACACGCAAAACCTCACATTTTTGTAAGCTTCAACATGACATTGGAAGATTTATTTTTGATGAACGCATGAGAAACTTGTGGTGCTACAGAATGGCAGACTTTCCCGTAATAGTTTATTTCCTTTGGTCACGGCTAGCTACTCAAGAGTTGCTACATACTCTTACCAGCTGCCATCTATCGCCGCCTAAAGTACATTTTTTTGACATTTCTTAATTTTTCGGTTTTGTAATGGTAAAGCAGAAACATTTTAAGATTATTAAAGAACAGTAAAACCTCGTCGAAAATGGCATTAAAGCGCTACTGTGAATTCGAAATTTAAATCACTTTTCAAAGAAAACTATTGAGTAATCGAAAACCTTCATACCACGTCATTTCAAGTATTTCCCGTCACAAATGCAATAATATTTACAAATCGCTGGAAATGTGCATATCAGCAGCGCCCCGTTGATATGCACATTTCCACGCCGCGGAGATCTTTCAAAAAAATGTGTAATTAAAAAAAAAACACCCACCGTACTGAACTTTACGTAATATTAAAGAGTGCAATTAGCATAATCCCTTAGAAATATCTGAAGAGAAAATTTGGAACCCTTTTTTAAGAAAAAGGCGTTTCAGCGATTTTGAAAATCCGGAATTATGAGCTAGTTTAGAGACAAAAACGAGTTTTCCAGAAACTTTACATATTATTTAAAGCACCTGTAATCATAAATATAATAAAGTGAACAAACTTCCGCTAATATAAATATTAACGAAATCAGAAGTCAAAAAAATGACATTTTTGTAATTTTTGAAGAAAAAAAAAACCCATCAATCTAGCGTTTATGTCATCTTATAGAAAGCATTTAGCACTATCCCTACCAAAAGTTAAAATAAATTTGAAGCTTTTTTGAGAAAATCTATTTTTGTAATTTTTTTATTGCACATATTACACGCAATATTGCGTGAAGACTGCTAAAATTTTCAAAAAAGTACGACACTGATGGAAGACCTCGCTATGGAGAACTAATTTTATTTCAAGGAAAAGTCTCCATCTTTCAATTTTATAAGACTACGCTCGAAACATTTTTAAGATTTCGATAATTCAGAGTTAAACCTGAAAATCGGACCTATGGCTTTATAAGTAAACACAAAATTTATTCTAATCTTACAAGAAGTTTATAGTAGTAGGGTTTCATGTAAAGTACCCCCAAATTTTAAAACTTTTCAAAATCTCAAAGTTTCGACTCGAGCTAAATGTGGGCAGATGTTTCTTCAATTAGAAAAAAATCCTGCGCATGGTTTAGGCTCTAGTAGTGTACACCGAACGGACAACAGACGTTTAAAACACACTTTTTCGGTATCTGGGGGACCCCAAAACGTGCATTTCCGTTAAAATCTATTTTCCGCAGCCTTATATAACTTTCCCTATACTACGTGTATTACTCCGTATATGCACATATATACGGAAAAGTAAAAAATAGTAGCTCCACAATTGTAGCTGTAGAAAAGCTCCTAAAGTTTTTAATTTTTCTCTCTAAATGTACGAAAAATCAGACTTAACATACATGGGACCTGCACCATTCCCTTTATTGTCCTTAAGTTTAAGGTTCAAAATTTAATTTTTAAAAAATGTACTGGTTTGGAAATTGTTTTAAAGAAAATAAAAAATTGGCTGTTTGAGACAAAACACTCATGTTTTCTCATTATTTGTTAAATACCTCAACTACTTTATGTAAAATACCCCCTAAAATGACAATATCGGTTTCAAATTCAAGGGCCCGCGACATCAGTCAGATCGTTTGGGGAATATCAATATTGAAAAAAATCGGCTGAACGGTTTAGCGGCAGACGGACACGTCTACCAATTTTTCGGTGTCAAGGACCATAAAACTGGATTCTGACAGAGTGCTTTTTTGTTGTAAATTTTTCAACCCTATCCTCTTAGCTACCAGGGCACGGTAATAAGTTTTCCAGCAGTATTATATAACTTTATCTTGTTAATAAGTACCTTCTTAAGGTGATAAAGTAAACACTAATGATGCTACAAAACTTCTCGCATTTTTTTTGCAACAGTTACGCAGTATGGTAATACTTTGTGAATCACCAAATGTCTGCAACCGCAAATATTTTTTGTCCACGCTGAGATTCGCTCCCATTTCCAATAACTTGTAAATGCCGCCACTAAGTACTAGAGTAGTGATATCGGTAGAATGGAGAGTTACGACATGAGCGCGCTCTATTTGGCCAATCTTCCAGGAACTAAAATGTGACAGTGGCGCTATCTCTGAATGGAGCAAGGTTTTGTAGTAACCTCTCCGATTTCGGGATGGATACTATATCACTACTCCATTACCACTCTTTCGTAAAATATTACATGTTAAGTGGAGGAGACCAGCTAATAAACCATTGCATAATTGTCTACAGCGAATGACGCGCATTTAACAGGCCCGAAGTAGATTAAGCGGGAATTTTTTAAACTTTTACAGCGCAAGCAAATACAAGTAAAGAATCTTTAAAAAAAATATTTAAATTTGATTGCTTTTAAAGATGAAATATTAATTTATTGTTTCATAAAAATTAGTCCACGTTCGCTACTCAGAAGCTACTTCAATCTAGGCAATTTTCGCATACAGATGGCGCTTACGGTACAATATTTCTATACATTTACTGAATGTGCATTGAACTCTCAATCCATCGCTTTCTTGTGCTGTGAATGTGGTCGCGAGTGGGGGAGATAGAGATCTAGGTTATATGCTTTGTGGGGGCTCTCATTTATGTGGGAACTGTTTCGAAATGGTTTCAAAATCGAAACCGATTTTCTTGGATCATTTTCAAGGTTTCCGAGTATCTAACGAAACCACAGACCACTAGCATGGCCAGGAGCTTCATAGTTTTCTTTCTAACTGTGTGCATTGGACATTAGCAATTAGATTACCATGCATTATGCGAATAAATACACATGATCGATTCCGCAATTTACCACAGAGGTAACTAAGAGGTGTTATCCAAATTTAAAAAAGTGACGAACTGTGCATCTTTGCAGTAACAATTTTTGGAGTTAAAAAGCATTATTAACTTACAATGACCAGATTCTATTCAAAATTAAGTTTTTCATATGTTTACATACTCCATTGACAGATCTGACAGAACATAAGACCTATGTTCAACGGTAATAGACCAGGAGTTCACAGACCAAACTTTAAAAAACACAGTTTCAAGTTATGTTACTCGAGTATTGATTTATCATGGCACAGTTCGGTTAAAATTAATCCAAAATTGCATCCATCACAAACACAACCTCAACAAATGCACAATTTGGCATACACACCTCCGATGGGCACAATTTTGCATGCACACATCCCATAGGCCACAAGTTGAACTTTATTTATAAATAATTTTGACTTTAAAACTATTCAATTTTTCGTTGCTTCTCTAATAATATATTACATAGATGTTTTGAATATTGACTCAAATATAGAAGTGAAAGAAAATTCACGCTATCGAATCAAAACGATTGTTTAAAGGTCTGTATGGCATTTAACTATTGTATTGATTTAAGACACTGCAGTCATTTTTCCAGATTTTTTAATTATTCCTTCGTAGTAATATCCATATTTCACTAAATATATTTTTTGAATGTTTCCGATTTATTTCATGTGCCATCGAATTCCCAATTTCCATTTCTGTCAACCACATTTAATTAATTATCGACAAATAACAAGCATATCGCGTTGACTTTATAGAAATGGAATAACGTGTAACTGATGATTTGGATTATTTCGGTATTTAATTTCTATCAAAAAACGAAATTAAAATTACTTGTAGAAAACAAAATTTAACTTGACAATATTCTGTAAACATGTCATTCATTTGCTACATTATTAAATACACAACTTAACACAAAACACCCAACCATAATTAAATTTCAATAAGAAATTTCAAACCAAGAAGATCTAAATTATGTGTTTTTAAGGGTGTTCCCCTACCGTTGCAATTTCAATTCTATGCTAATCTGCAAAGCAGAATAAATACAGAGATAATTGTATCTGATCCTGTATACACACCACAGTGAAATTGCAAGTCCTATTATTTTATTTTTTTTTGGTAGATTTGGACTCCTATAACCTCCATACAATTACACAATTTTCATTTTTGTTTTAAAAATGAAATATTCCAAAGAACAAATAGGTTGCATATTTAAGTTACAAAAAAATCGTGATGCCATTGCACAAAAACCACTGAATATTAAAAAAAAAAAATCAGGAACTCTGTCCATTTCGAAAACTTAGGAAAGGTTGCTAGTTCATTGTAATCAAATTCGTAGTCATAAAACGGAATCATGTATAACATGCTTAGAATTGCTGTGACATAGCAGAAAATTATTCCGGATAAACCTGTCAAAATAAAAATTACAAGCCTTCTCACGTATTTTAAACAGTAAGGTCTGTTGCACCGATACAGAAAGGCACAATTTGGCAGCCCCGGCACTTGCCGCCAAAACATACTTCCTCAATCTCTCACACATTTCCACCTTGAAACTTATTTTGATTAAACCTATACGTCCTTTATCAAATAATAGCGTACGAAACATCAATAAAAGTCAGCAATGGGATAAAATCAAAAAAATTTAATGTAATAATTCTTAACTCTCCACTCACCCGTATGAGTCCGGAGATGTGCTTGTAGAGATTTTTCTCGAGGAAAAACACGATTGCAATATCGGCACTTTATTGCGCTAGGGGATGTTGAACCTTCAACAATTAAATTAGTAATTGCATCGGCTCTTGGTCTACCGCGCTTGATCTCGTGTCTTGTGACGAACTCCGGTGAGCTACATGAGCTAGCTGGGCTCAACTCGATTTTCATCGCTTCTTCACCCCAATTCCAGGGATATAACGATGAATCTTGAACAACCGCACTTTCATGTAAATGCTCTCGACCTCCGCTTTTCGAATTCACACGTTTCGGCGTAGACAATGCCATATTTCCATCAAACAAGTAAGCCACACTCTTCACTACCGCACAACCCATTCACACTATACATAATGTTACCGCCAATAACAGTTTACAAATTTGCGCGCGTTTTGTGTGATGACATAACTGGCTGGAACACAATAGGTAGAGGGGCCTTGGAAACTGTAGTACATGATACCTTTAACATAAAGAATCATTCTTCTAATTTGTGCATTACACTAGAAAGTATTAATATTTATCAACTAGCATTGCAACTTAATGAGACATTATCAATTTCCCTAGATGGGAAGTAATATTATATTTTATTTATTCCGACATTTGCCGCCAAAATATTCTTCCTCATGACCAGCTTCTTAATTTCTTTCCAAATATTAAAAAAATCTATATAGATACGCAGTTGACGCTCCTTATTTTTTTATGATTATTTAGTTGCCGTATCGAAACAATTTTTCTAATAAATTATCCATAATAAGCAACTTCTTGTATAGGCTCTGGAACATGAGGCGCCATCATTGGGTTCTTACTGAAACCTCGTGGGATACACAACTTGGAGCCCGAAAGTGGTGGCCATTTTGGATGTCTGTGAACCCGATTCTTGGTGTGTTCATCGTTCGAAATTATCCGTAAACATCCTCTTGTCGCAGAGGATTAAATCAAACATGGAGAATTCCTACGGAATTGGTGTAGCTAATCGTTACGCCTTATTTCTTGATGAAGCTGAAGATCCTTTGGAAGTTTTGAAAGTTCAAGAACAAGAAAGGGAGGCTAAGAAAAAAACCAAACTTTCGGAGAAAGAAAATAAGGGAAAACCTGAAACTAAAGGGAAGACTGCGCCAGGTGCTAGAAAAGGTATCAAAGAAACACAGAATGTGAAAACGCTCGATTCTGGAAAGACGAGAGAAGGTATGTTATCTGAAAATGCTTGTTTATATCCTCGCTAAATTGGAGGGTAGTATGCGGTTTAACCATGTGATCGTTGATTTCTGAGAGAATAGTTGTATGAGTGTGGCGTAATGACGCGTGTTAGTGTGTGCTACCAGTACTAAAGTGTATCAGTGTGTGAAAATAGCCACATGGTACTTAACGAAAATATGGCCTCACATTCTTGTCCTACAACCTTGTATGTTTATTATTTTCAAAGCATCCTAGGTGATAGTGTAGTGCTACAGCGATGTTCCTTTTGATTTTTATGAGAACCTTTGAATGGAGTAGCTTTTTGAAATTAATATAGGTCATATGTGATTGGAACGAAAAGTGCGGTCAGTTTGCTTTTTGCAGTAAAGCAATTAAACTAGATATGTTGTGATATGCTACTCACGAGTCATTTGTGTATGTTCGTGGTGTGACAGTGCTGCTGCAGTTTTCTTCTAGTTTTCTGAATGGTTTAAAATTTAGTAGTTATTAAATGTTGGTTATTTTTTGAGACTTCTGTTTGGGTGAATGTTGTAAGATTGCTTTTACGTATGTTACTTAATACCACTGGTGAATGTAACATTTGTGCTCGAAGTCCATTAGCAATCTGTCTGAATTGTCAATAACTTTCTTCTGATGGAAGTAAACGGATAAGTCAGAACCATAATTTACTAATGGAGTGAGGGAGTTCATTTAGAACTGATGTATACACAAACTATTGTAGCTTAGGATGAATCTGCATGTACATGATACGCAATGAAAGTTTGATCATTTAGGGAGGTTTTATGCAGATGTAGTGACATTTTGAGACAATCAATTAGTCAATGCTTCAATTTATTCAAATCTTCTTGGGGTCTTGTTTATTTCTTCACTGGGACATAAAAAGCTATGATATTGCAAATTGTCAAAAATGCCGGGTGGTTTTTAATTTTGGCCTGCAAGTTTTTGTCTTTATCTGAATAGCAGTGTGTTAACGGGTGAACTAATTGTTTCGTGGATATCATTTTTTAAAATTTTTTTGTGAGGAAAGGTAAGATTAGTTGGCGTTAATTTTTAATTATGAAATAGTTTTTGCTTAGGGTGCTGCGACTAATTTTCAGTAAGGTTAGATTTAACTTTCATGTCTGTTCTATTGAATTTTTCCCATACTTAGGTTACTTATTGCCCTTTCAGCCAATGAGTCGCTCATTCCTCTCGGTGGAATTTAGTTATTTTTCGGCAATAATGAGATTATATTATTTCTTTAGTGTTATTTGTGCCAGGAGAACTTCAACAATTATTTACTAATATTGTTTTGATAGAATTTTTGAGGTATATAATATCTGGATGTTTGAGGTATTACATTACAGCAAGTATTTTATTTGTGGTATGAAAGTCTTCAAATTTTGTTTTTGGCGAAAGTACTAAGACCATGAATTGTTATGCACTATTCTAAAATATTAAGCCATTATGAGAAAAATTGAGTGAAAACGTGATGTATGTACTCTAAAAGAACTTAGTTCTGTTGAGAAATGTGCGATTGATGAACAAAGAAATCACATCTATTTTGGGATCTTCATTCCAATGTAATGCAAAATCTTTCCACACCTTGCAGATTTTTGTAATATTGAATTTAATGTTGACCCAGAAAAATGAAACTAAATTGTTTGTAAATAGAAGGTTTGGTCAGGTATCAAATTTGTCCAGGGCTAAAGTTAGAATTAGGTCAAGATTTTGTAGTGCCAGTTCCGATGGGTGTAATGTGTAGTGAGCATACCCATAGATTTTGGGTGTAAACATGTTATGAGAATACCCACGTTTGGCACCTACTGAATGAACATACACTTTAATATAACTTGCGTTGAACTGGGCGCTTGTTAATGTTGGGGCAATTTATTTATCATTTTTTTGTGGAAACTTGCAGACTTATGCACAAGATGAAAATTATATGGTTTATATACACCAAGTTTATTACTAGAAGACTGTTTCGGCCAAATGATTGTGGGACACTGTTTCATCAGGATAATGTACCATAACCTAAAAATTATAATTGTCTTCATAAATGTATATTTCAGGGCTTAATTCATTCTTTGGATAAAAGTAAGACACATAACTAGGAAACACTTAGATAATAGTAGTTTACGAAGAATATATGAATTTAACAATTATAGATTAAAGTAAAAGTAAAAATCTCACATATGATGAACATTGCTGATTTAAAAAAATATTGTGGGTGCATTTTTTACATTAATTTTGCACTGTAATACTTAGTATTGCTGAATTATGTATATTGTTAGTTACTTTTGTCTGTTACCTTGTAATTTTGTCTTACCTGCATAGTGTAATTTGATATTAGGGCCTGCAGCAAGTCTTGAAAGATCATGTTTTATATACAATTTAATATAAAAAATTAGAGGTTTTGATTGTCCCTAAAAAAAAATACTTATTGTCAGAGGCTTGTATATATTGAAGATCAATTTGTCATTTTTGAAATGTGTTTAGCGTATAGTTACTGGTGGCAGAGTAAACTAGGCCATGCTTCAATGTCCTTTCTTTCCATGTGGTCTCATTTCCTTATGCGTCTTCCAATAGCAATAAATTTAGACAATTTGTTATTCTGAGATAAATTTAATTATGAGTAAAAATGGATTGTTATTCTCTAAATATTAATGTTGATGTAACAGGTTTAATATATTTAGTTGTTAAAAGTCCACAAACAATTTCTTTTTAATTTTCCCTCCAGAAAACAACAGGTCTAAGAGTACTCCTCGCCCAGCTGTGGAGAGAACTGAACGTAATGTGAAGTTCGCTGGAGAGTCACGAGAAGAAAGGAACAATAGGCGTAATAGGGAAGACAAGCCTTTCCTTGCCGGTGGAGATTTCGTTAGGTGAGTTCCTTATGTAATCTACACACACATACATTTACTTTTAATAAGAAAGTTAACATGAATCCATATTTCTTTACCTTGTTTTTAATCCAGTAATGTCGCATAATAATTGCACGATGAAAGTTGAAAGTAATGAATCAGAAAAAAGTGATGTGTTCTACCTCATCAGAAGTACTGATAATCTTATTAAACTTCAATTTAATATTCATTGTTTTTGGAAAGCTGAGTTTGAAGTACAATTTTATATTGATCTGACCACAAGAAAAGTTACAATACTTTTCAGTATATTTTCCTGGGGACATTGTAACCTAATTCATAAAGATTTGGAATAGAACGGTATACATTTCAATTTGTTTAAAACTTGCTGATTATATGGAGGTATTGATAAGATATGCGAAGAAATTTTTGACTGGTGTGTTGTAGTTACAATTTTTTGAAGTGAAAAACCTTCGTATTATGTAACTCTTCTACACAAACATGATGGCAGGATGAAGTTCATGTGAGTTTGAGGGATTTTGACTTGCATGTATTTTCCTTGAAGTTGTTCTATTTTTCATGACTTGATCAGAATATGATGCTTCGAGGTGGTGAGAAGGGGGAAATGGTCTGAATTAGTGAAGTGTTAAAGCAGATAATTTGCAGCATTATTTGTTTTTCTGTATTAATGTATTCATTGGCATTAATAGTATCTTCTTAGTAAATGTAGTCAACTTGTAGAGATGCATAGTATTGCTGTTTACGTGTATGAACAAAATGTATTGTAGTGCCTTCAGATCAACCTCTTTGTGTAAGTAGTTTTGTCATGGTGTTGTAAAGATAGATGTGGCTTACTGCTGTTAGAATAACTTTTTTATTTTTTCAATATGCAAAGAATTTATTCATTTTATGTAATAAAAGAAAAATCCTCTTTAAAAGACTGGTAAATGAGAGAAGTATTATGTTGTTTTTTACCACAATTAGCTGCAAGCTCTTTGGAGAAAATTTCATGACTAGAATTATTCACTCTCCTGTAGTGGAACTTATTTGTGTTGGCAAATGGGCTACAGATTTTGGCTTATACCACCTATTAAAAACTTTCATTGTTGTTTTGTACATTTCATATCATCTTTTGTACACAATGATTTTCAAATCTCATCTAATTTCTTAAAGGATGTACAATGAATTCATATTGTTTGGTAAGGATATGTTGAATATCTTATGGAAGGTAAGCATGTGAAATGCCATTTGTATTGTGATATAGAATATTGGAATATGAGGTTAATAGTAAGGTTAGGGAGTATTCTAAAAACCTACTGTTCTTTAATAAACAAGCTTGTCTCTAGAATTTTAACTTCCAATTTTCTCCGAGAACATTTTTTAAGTTGAGCCTTGAGCTCTGAAATATGAAATTACTGTGGGATACAATTTTTGAAAGAAGGTGGTTTTGAAGAACTACTTGGGTTGCCTAATACTCTGCCAGCAAATTACTGGAATTTCCACAGAGGTTAGCAATTTTTGCTGCAATTATTTTTTAGTATAAATGGAGTGGTGTTATTTTAGGGCAGTTTAGTCATTGCTCAATCTCGGGTATGTAGTTTTTTTTTCAGTGTTTTAAATGGCACACCTTAGAATTTATATATATTGCATATTTTTAATAATTTTTATTTATTCATTTATAGTTATTTAGAATAGATTAGATGTTACAAGGATTTAGTTACTATGGTTAATTCAGTAAAATTTAGATTTTTTGTTACTCAGGTTCGGGGTACAGGGGAGGTGAAGCCTCATGAACCCCTCCCCAACACAGGCTGTGTATGTAATTGAATATATTTGGGAAGAGGCTGTATTGGAAAAATCCTCCCTACTTTTACTTTTATAAAACCCTTTCCGTAAAGCAATTTAGTTTGTTGGTGGTAAAATTTACCTTATTTGGTTCAGTATTAATGTATTAAATTGATTTTTTCCTATACTTGTAGAGAGTTGCATATTCTTTCCCCAAATCTTAATGAAGTGTGACACAATTGGGGAAATGTCACGAATTAAAGAATGTTGGCATTGATTTTCGAAATCTGTTGGGTTTTTATGTTGATCCAGTATAAAAAAAAGTTTGTGAAGATGAGGAATTGTGATGATTAAGAATTTATTAAAGAACTGATAATATTTGAAGTCCTGATTGGCAATCTGTTAAATGTGAAAGTAATGTAGAGAATAAAATGCAATAAAACTATTAAAAAATTGTAGTAATATTTTTAAGATAGTTTTGTTCGTGCAGTTTTTTGTTTTTACTCTCTCTTGTCACAGTACATACTTGCATAGTAAAGAGAATGGAGTTGAAAGAGGTAATATTTCATCAGAAAAGCTTGTGGGACCTTGATTTCGAAAATTTTATTGTTCCCTATGTATAATAAATTACTTCTATAACATTAGTGATATTCTGTTTTGAAGCCATGATACTGAGAAATTGGCTGACAAAATAACTGCCCTCCTCCCTCAAGCCATGGGTAATGCTATCGCCTAGACCATTCAGGTGCCTTTCTCCCAAATTGACATTGCCGCATCTATCTGACTGAACTCTGGTCTGAACAAATTCGAATTTTTGGATAATTTGATTTTTTGGTCTTTTCAGTCAGTTTTCATTTAGTTGTCTCATCAATGAAAATGATTCAGGTGCAGCAAAGATTCATAATAGCAATCATGTATGATGTCTCTAGGATGCATAGTTTCCAAGGATATATATCTGATAGTGTTCTGTGGGTTTGTATTTGTACCTGGTGATGCACATCTGCCATAATCTGATGTCTGATTTTCGTCTTATCTGTTTGATGCATCCCTGGGGGTAATTCCGAACCCAACAGTAGTACTTAAGAGGTTGTGTGTTCATGGTATCCCAAAAAGGGAAGGTTTCCCTTCTTTGCTTAGCGTATTATATATAGATGGTATAAGTATAATTCAAATCTCAATTGATTGATAGAAAACGTCCAGTAAAATGTTTTTATATGAAGCAACCATTAATTGGATTGTTGGTGAAGTAGATACCTTTTTTATTTTGATAAATAAATAGAGATATTGTCAGGTATCAATATTTTAATTCTCTGAGCTCTGAGGATGATCGCTACGCGATCGAAATGATCAATGAATTAAAATATTGATACCTGACAATATCTCTATTTATTTATCAGAAGCAACCATTCTTGGTATTTTAGAAAATTTTTGCTTCCTCTCTGTCTTGCACCTGCCCAAACCTTTCTGGCTATGGAGCTCAGTCAGGGAAGTTGCTCATACAGGAATGCTGTACTTCCCATGCGGGCAAGTAGCTTGTGTAGGCATATTTCGACACGTTTGGTCCAGTACGTTGAGTTCCCCTGATCTCTTTGGAATTAATGGGCTTCGTTGGGTTATTAAGATTGTGCTCCAAAATCAGCTCGGAAACCTGAAATTAATATCCTCTTTGGCTCATAAGGTTTCGTGACACGTCCGAAACTTTATAGATTCGTCAGACCGTGACACAATGGACTACTAAGCGCTTATAGGACCGTAAAACCCTGGTGTTCATCTCGGGTCGTTGGTCGTCAGAAGTAATTTTAAGGCTTCGCATCGGCCATGCCTATATTTGTCATGGTTTCTTCCTGTGGAGTTCTCCTGTTCCTCTCCGGTCTTCAACGCGTGTAAGATTGACCTTGCCGCGAAACACGTCCTTTTATTCTGTTGAGAATTTTTGGCGGTGGACGAAGTAGACATTGTCGGAGCCGCTCTCTACAGAAGGTGCTCGGTGACATTTTCTCAAAACCCTTTTCCTTTCTGCGTATGAAATTGTGATTTGAGGGTAGGGGCAATTTTGATCTCTATGCCGCCGAGTATAAACCATTTTATGCTGCCATTAGGTTTTTTTTTTTTTTTAATGTTCTTAATAGCGTTTGTTGCATCTGCAACTTCAAATGAAATCTCTAATCTCTGCTTTTCAAATTAATTTGACTGAGGCGCCGATGACCATAGCTGATTGTTTTAGCTCAAAAATACATTACAATTTAGGGCAAAATGTTCTTTCCTCGGGTCAAGATTTCTTAAAGGTCTTTCGTGCATGTACATTCGTCATTTTCCATTGAATTGTAAGCGTAGGCAGTGCAAATTCATCCTGTTAGTGAAACGTTTAATCCTGTGAACAAGGCGCACAGACAACCTAGCTTGTCTTGAATTATACGCGAGTCAACTTCACACACGTTTTCCCCGACGTTCCACGTACGTAATAAAGGTAAAGTATTATAATGCTCCGGGAGATTTCGGCTGTTTTTTCGGTAGAAAACTCTTGTTGGGCTCTGGTTTAGAACAGTGAATGAATCGTGTACCTTGACCTTTCCCTAGTTAATTACTTACATGCGTTGTGTAGTCAGGATCGAAGATTTGAGCGTCCTTTACACCGAAAAATCGATTGACGAGAAAATGTCGGTTCGTCCGTCCAAGTTTGGCATAACCGTTCAGATAGGTCGATATTACCCGGTCAATCTGGATGTCCCGGGAGTGTGAAATTACGTATTTCGACTTGGAGGGGGGGGTGCTTTAGAAAAGCCTATACATTTTAAAAATGGCTTCATTCTTGCTCGGCTGGGACTTTTAAAAAAAATTAGTTATGTATTATTTTCGTTCACACATGAAGTTTTATAAATAAGAAATTTTTAAATTATTTTCGGCATCTTCCTATAACAATATTAATTATAAAGTTTTTTCCTTGATTCAATTTGTTCTGTCATATTTAAATAGGTTAGTGTAAAATGTTTCGAAAATATAAATTGTTTTTGTGTATAAAACCGGATATAGGCAGTTTCTAAACTATTAATTTCTCTAAAACTGCATTAATTTATTTTTCTTCCCCTTCGAGAATGTCACTTTAATATATGGCACGGGTTCTGTTTAAATTCTTTTTCTTAAAGATATATGTTCTTTAAAACTGGATCATGAAATAATGTATATTAAAATATTTTAGGAAAGCAAATGATTCAACGTCTTTTAATCATCGGGAAGGTTGA